CAGACTTGCAATGCATAATCACAAACTGCACACTGACGTGCAGAGGGGACGCTCACAATCAGTTCTGAGAATACCAGGGAATTCCCACCACCTTACTCAGAGACCAGCTAGGAAACTGAACCTGAAGGCTCCCAGGACAAAGTGTGCCATGTCCACACAACTAGAGCTGGAGGGGTGGGAGAGGGCAGTGAGAGGAGGAACAGCATCAGGCAGGGGCTGCTGAGGAAATCAGAACCAGGAGCAGCCCCTTATCCCCCCAATGACATGGCACATCTGCCACAAAGCTCTCCAGCCCTGCCCTGTTCATGGACTCCCTTGATCTGGGACCTTCTATGGGCACCTGTGCTATAACAGATCTTAGCCCAAGAAAGGAGTCTGCGGCTTATATGGGCCAATCCTGTTCCTTGTCAAATGGGCATCCGAGAACCAGAGAGAGGAAGTGACTTGCCCAAAGTCACCTAGTGAGTTACAGGAGAGGCAAGACTGGAACACAGATCTTCTGGATTTAAGCTCATTTTTTGGAAACCTATGGCACATGGCAAAGGGCTCCAGGAGGAAGCTTCTGGAATAGTTCCAACTGAAGTCCTGAACTTTCTTACCAACACACCTGCCAATACATAACCTCTTAGAGTTCCTTCCACCTCGTTCAAGATATTGCTGATATCCCTAAAAGTGAGTGGGCTCCAAATGCCAGTAACAAGAGCAACCAAAACCTCTGGGCAGAAGGAAAGTTTTGGCAAGGGCTTTCCATGCCTCCATGTGGGAAATGTGGAATAATGGGAAATGGCTAAGCAGGGGGCAGGTGCCACGGAAGGTCCCAGACTTCAGACTCTCAGGATGCTAATGCTTAGGTACCTTCTAGGCAGTATAATCACCTCACTTTACACTTGAGAAAACTGAAGCCCATAGAGGGCAAGCAACTTATCCTAGATCACACAGGGATATGGTGAGGAGATAGGCTCACTGAGCTACACCCCAACTGGATATTCTTCGTAAGTCTAGGGAGAAGAAAAGCCATTCTACCTGCTCGTCCATCTCCCTTCCAGCCCTGTGCAATCTTGGATTTCCTTCCTTTGGTTGAGGTACAATATCCTGTCATGCTTGCTCTTGGCCATAACTGTAGACAACAGGGGAGCAATCTAACCTTAACTTCTATACTTAAACTCCTTGGGGACAGGAATCCTCTTGTATCAGTCAGTGTTGAAGCAAACAAGAGCCACTCTCCCTATCTCAAACAGAAGGAATTTAATATAGAGAACCAGTTATACACATGATGGAAGAGCTGAGGCCAAAGAAGCAATGGCAAGACCACCCAGAGATTAATAACAGCAGGAAGTTCCCGCCGTCCCTAGAGCTGGAGGGACACAGGGAAAAAGTGATGTTACCATAGCCCAGAAACTGGAGCAGGAGCTGGAACCATGATGAGGGTTACTCATCAGGTGCTGGTGCCACCGAGGTAGGAACAGGCTGATGGACTCTGGGATCAAAGGCATGTAGCCACTGCTGGGATGCGACTGGAAGCAGAGAGAGGGAAGAAAACTACTGATGGAAAAAGATATACCATTCAAAAAGTCCCCAAATGGATGTGGCAAAGTCATAACATGTAACCAAAATGTTTGTACCTCCATAATTTCCTAAAATAAAAAAAAAATTTTTTTTAAGTCCCCAAAAGGGAGCTGGAATAGTTAAACTAATATCAAATAAATGTAGACTTTAAGACAAAAATTGTTTATAAAGACAAAGAAAGACATTTGATAATGATAAAAGGGTCAATCCATCAAGAACACATAACTAGAAATAAGAAGCAAACATTGACAGAATTGAAGGAAAAAATAGGAGAAAAACACAATTCAACAATAGTCAGAGACCTCATGACCCTACTTTCAACAATAAATACAACAACTTGTCAATAGAGCAACAAGGAAATAGAAGATTTCAACAAAACTATGAACCAACTGCACCTAACAGATATCTATAGAACACTTCACCCAACAACAGCAGAATACACATTCTTCTCAGGTGCACATGGAACATTCTCCAGGATATAAAACAAGTCTCAAAAAATGTAAAAGAATTGAGATCAGAAAAAGTATGTTCTCTGACCATGATCGGTAACAGAAGAAAACTTGAGGAATCCATAAATATGTGGAAATTAAACAACACACTCTTAAATAATCAATGAGTCAAAGAAGAACCCACTGGGGAAATTAGAAAATACTTTAAGATGAATTAAAATGAAAACAAAACATACCAAAACTTAAGAAATGCAGCTAAAACAGTGTTTATACAGAAATTAATAGCCATAAATGCCTATATTTTTAAAAAGAAGAAAGATATCAAATAACCTTTCACCTTAAGAAAAAGAATAGCAGGCTGAGTGTGCTGGCTCATGCCTGTAATCCTAGCACTCTGGGAGGTTGTGGTAGGAGGATCGCTTGAGCCCAGGAGTTCAAGACCAGCATGAACAAGAGTGAGATCCCATCTCTACTAAAAATAGAAAAATTAGCCAGGTGTGGTGGCACATGCCTGTAGTCCCAGCTACTGGGGAGGCCAGCGCAGGAGGTTTGCTTGAGCCCAGGAGTTTGAGGTTGCAGTGAGTTACAATGACACCATTGCACTTTAGCCTGGGCAACAGAGCAAGCCTCTGTCTCCAAGAAAAATAGTAAACTAAGCCCAAATCAAGCAGAAGGAAGGAAATAATAAAAACTAGAATGGAGGCCGGGCGCGGTGGCTCACGCCTGTAATCCTAGCACTCTGGGAGGCCGAGGCAGGCGGATTGTTTGAGCTCAGGAGTTCGAAACCAGCCTGAGCAAGAGCGAGACTCCGTCTCTACTAAAAATAGAAAGAAATTAATTGGACAAATAAAAATATATGGAGAAATTAGCCAGGCATGGTGGCGCATGCCTGTAGTCCCAGCTACTTGGGAGGCTGAGGCAGGAGGATCACTTGAGCCCAGGAGTGTGAGGTTGCTGTGAGCTAGGCTGACGCCACGGCACTCACTCTAGCCCAGGCAAAAGAGTGAGACTCTGTCTCAAAAAAAAAAAAAAAAAAAAACTAGAATGGAAATAAGTGAAATATAAAATTGGAAAAAATAGAGATAATCAACAAAACCAAAAGGTAGGTACATCAAAATAAAATTGACAAACATTTAACTAGACTTACTCTGATATCAAAACTACACAAAGACATCACAAGAAAACTACAGACCAGTGTCCCTTATAAATATAGACACAAAATTCCTCAACAAAATATTAACACACCAAATCCAGCATCACATTTAAAAAGACTATATACCATGATTTATCCCAGGAATTCAAGGTAAGTTCAATGTACAAAAATCCATCCATGTAATACACCATGTTTATCGTTCTCAACTATAAAACTCTTAGAAGAAAATAGAGCAATCAATCTTCATGAACTTGATTTAGGCAATGGTTTCTTTGCTATCACACCAAAAGCACAAGCGGCAAAAGAAAAAATAAATTGAACCTCAAAATTAAAAACTTTATTGCTTCAAAGGACACCATCAAGAAAGTGAACAGATGCTCCACAGAATGAGAGGAAATATTTACAAATATATATCTGATAAAGGATCGTATCAAGAATACATAAAGAACTCATACAACTCAACAATAAAAAACAAATAACTCAATTTTTTAAATGGGCAAAGGATTTGAATAGACACTTCTCCAAAGAAAATACACAAATGGTCAATAAGCACAAGAAAAGATCCTCAACGTCAGTAGTCATCAGGGAAATGCAAATCAAAACCACTTTGAGGTACCACTTCATACCCACTAGAATGGTTAAATCAAAAGGGTTGAAAACAAGTTTTGTTGATGATGTAGAACCCGCATACACTGTTGATGGGAATGTAAAATGGCGTAGCCACTTTGGAAAATAGTTTGACGGTTCCTCAAAATGTTAACCATATCACTACCATATGACTCAACGATTCCACTTCTAGGCATATACCCAAGAGAAATGAAAGCCTATGTCCACACAAAAAGCTTATACATAAATATTCATAACAGCATTATTCATAATAGCTAAACAGTGGAAACAACCCAAATGTCCAACTAATGATGGATAAACAAAATGTGGTATATCCATCCATACAATGGGATATTATTCAGCCGTAAAAAGGAATGAAGAACTGATCCATGCTACAGCGTGAGTGAACCTTGAAAACATGCTAATTAACTGAAAGAAACTGATGTGAAGGCCGCATATTGCACACTTCTATTTAGGTGAAATGTCCAGAAGAGGCAAATCCACAGAGACAGAAAGTAGATCTGTAGTTGCCAAGGGCTGTCGAGAGCAGCGTAGGGAAGATGGGGGTCATTTGCTAATGATGACGGGGTTGTTGGGGAGGGTGAGAAAAAATGTTCTAAAATTGATTGTGGTGATGATTGCACAACTCTGTGAATATACAAAAACCATTGAATTGTACACTTTAAGATGGTGGATTTTATCATATGTGAATTATGTCTCGATGAAGCTGTCATTAAAAAAAGAAAGGAAAAGAAAAGAAAAAACACACATTCTGGCATATCCCTTTCCTTCTACCTTCCACCATGTGTCAGTGCCTCCCATGGGCCAAATCTATCCAGAAGCCAGAGAAAAAGTAGTTTTGGGAACCGCAGCCTCCTGTGATACTGAGCAGGGAAAGATGGGGACACATCTGTCACTCATCTCTGATTCCCCCAGCATCTACCCCGTGGCTTGGCATGTAATATTCACACCATAAACATCTGTTGAATCAATAAATTGCCCCTCATCTAGGCTCTGCCAGGTGGCACAGGGGGCTTTTTGAATGTAAATGACCTGATGATTCAGGATCCTGTGACCAGCGACTGGGGGCTGTCACTCTGTCACCTTTCTCAGACAGCACCGGAGGGACCCTGCGTGAGGCAGGGAGGGCTGGAGGGAGGAGCAGAGTGGGAGGGGCAGGGAAGCTGTGGCTCCTCTCACAACTTAAAAGGGGCTGGTACCACTTCCTCCCCAGACAGGGGTAGCGCGAGGCCCGGCACTGCCTTCCTGTGTGGTTTTGCTGCCCAGAGCGCCATGGATCTGGGTGAGTGAGCCTCCTCGTCGGAGAACTGGGGTCTCGGACACCCAGACTGACCCTGTGGATTGGGAGTAGAGGATGGGGCTGGAAAGCCTAGGGGGCCTAGGAGAAATCAGGTCTGATTTGGTGGGAATTGGTGGCTGCTTCCAGAGAATGCCACCTCGTTGTCCCTAGAGGGGACATCTGGAGGGGTGCATCCGTCCTTTCAGACCCAGGAGAAGGGGCAGCCTTTGGTGCCAGGGAGGACAAGGAGGCCAAGGTCATGTGTTTCTAAAACAGCAGGGACGTAAGAAAGTTGCCCACCCACTCATTAACTTGCAAGAGACTGGTCTGGGCTTGGTGATCTGGCCAGAACCTGTCCTCAGCTTGGGGGTGATGGGTGAGACCCTCTGAGACTGCTGGGGACCAGTTTCAACAGGGGGGCTCAGGCCCCTCCACCCCCTCTCTGATTCCCACTTTTCTCCTCTGCTTCATAGAGATTAGAATCTCGTCCTCTTGGGGTTGTTGGGAGGAGCAAAGTGAAGGTGCCAGCATTGTGTGAACGGTACAACGCAATGCAAATGCAAGCCGTGGTTGTTTTCTCTCTGCTGCTCATCCTACCGGCCTTGTACCAGGTTTGCCCTGGCTTTGCTGTTGCCTCCTGCAAGTTGAGAAGTGGGCAGGCAACATGAGATAGGACGGCAAGGGTCATTCGACCTGGAGAAGTCCTAGCCAGACCTCCAGCACAGCCCCTGCTGCTGAGCAAACCTCACTCACTCTACCCAGGCAGACAGCTCTGCTCCTTAAAAAGCCCTTCCTCTAATCTAACCTCAGTCTCTTCTAGAGGGGTACAAGGGAAGCCCTGAGGGGTTTCCGAGTGGTTCATCCAGCTCCAGACACCCCCTTTACAAATCTCGGCTGTGGAATCAGACCCGGCTGAGGCTAAGAGAGCCGGTTCCTAGATGGCTCATCTCACCAGCAAGCAGAGCACCACGGCGGCCTCAAAGCCGCAAGGGGTTGGCTTTAAAAAGTGAAGGTTCCCTGGTGCTGGCCTCATACCCTCCCCGCCACACCACAGCCTCCTTGACTTCATCTCTTCCTTCCCCACCTGCCCTGAACCCTGGAGCCGGACCCAGCAAACAGTTGTGAAAGGGTCAAGCAGTCACCCTACCCACTGACTGTGAACTCCTGAAAGGCGGGGTCTCATTCTTTCATTTCTGCCTCCCGGGGTGCTGTGGGGATGTGAGCAGAAAATGCCTGTGGAATGAATGAATAAATGGTATGAAGAACTCAGGAGATTATAGTTTTTGAAAATCTCTTCCAACTTCCTCTCTTCCCAGCCAATCTGCTCTTTAATCCCACTCCCCAGACATCCACCCCCACTGACCACAGCCCCAGAGTACAGACGTCAAACACAGGAGACCCTGCCCCAGGCTTTCCTATTGGCCTCTGGGAAGGAAGCCAAGCAGTGCCCCAGTGGCTGTGCTGCTGAATGTTTGCAAAGCAGCTCCCCAGGGTGGAGGAAAGGCCCTGAATGTGTAGCGCTTGCCAATTTCCATTGTGTAAATCCTCCCGCCCTTGCTGATTTCAAGCCGTCCTGAAGACTGAGCGCAGAGCTGGGCAGATGCACACAACTGACTCGTTGAGCCTGAGCCTGGCTCCAGCACACCGCTGTCTGCCTCCCGGTCTGGGTTTGAGGGTGCTAGACTCCTGGGCTTTGATGCGGGGGTTGGGGGGGCAATCTCTGGTCCAGGAGGAAGGGATATTCTTGCTTCTTCACTCAACCCGAGAGAGCCCCAACGGTTGAACCCAAAATACCGGTAGCGAGGGGAAGCCACTGAGAAGCTTTGCTCAAAACGGACTCTGGACCGTTGGTAGGGCGGGTGGGCCACGAAGGATCTGTTTTTCTGCTCTTTGTCTGCCCAGCAGGGAGCAAGAGGTGGGTGAGGAGGCAGGGTTTCTGTTACACAAAGTGAAAACTCCAAGGCAGGGCTGAGCTGGCCTTTTTCACTATTTGAATGAGCGTCTCCGAGGCGCCCTCCCAACCTTCAAGCAATGAGGACAAAGATCTCAGTCAGGCAAAGCAAAGAAAAATGAACCTGTGAGAGATTTGTGTCTCAGAGCCCAGCCACAAATGGTGGCAGAGGTGGATGCTGAGGGAATTGGAGGCCAATCTCTTCTGGAAACTTGGCGGGGGTTGGGAAGGCAGGGCGAGAAGAACCCCGAAGCCTGAACCGGCTGTTGGAAAAATCTTCCTCTGTGCTTGGGACTTTCTTTCAGTCGATTATAATTGCTTGAGGAATTCAGGGATGACCAGTCTGGTGGGGAGAGAGACACATATGTCACTAAGCTGCTGCCACGGAGTGAGATACAGTGCTGGTGGGGGTAAGGGCAAGATGAGAAGGGAACATGGGTCAGAGAAGTATTTAAGGGGAGTTTTGAAGGGTGCGTAGGAGTTGTCAACCCAAACAAGGAGCAAGGGGCCTGGGACGTAGCACGGATGACAAACTCTATTGCCAGCAGAGGCCAACAAGCTGAAAGAGAGAAGGAGCATAAGACATAGGAAGTGGAGGGCTAGAGGGAACCAGAGGGCGCACACCCCACCTAAGAGCATCCAGATCCAATATTCTAAAAACCCCATGCAGCCTAGCAGGGCGTCCTGCAGACTCAGCCTGGGGCTCACTGAGGGTCAGCTCCAACTAAAGCAATAGAGACAAGAAAGAGGCAAGCTGAGGAGAGTGAAAAGAAGCTGCCACATCAAGGAGGGAAGGAGGGGGACACAGGCACGGGAAGGCCAACCCTTAAAATTTGGTGTGGCGTCACCAAGGAGTTTGGACTATCCTGAAAGCAATGGGGAGTCAGTGAAGATATGTTTCAATTAGGTGAATTAAAGGAAGAGATTTGTGTTATGGAAGGAGCCCTGTGGCAGCAAAGCCTCATGTCAGGACAGAAGTGCGTCCAGCTCCGAGGGATGTCAGGAAACAGAAGCAACAGAACTGGGTGGTCGACGGAACGGGCGAGAGTGAGGGTCCTCTCCGTGCTTGTGGAAGACCCTGCCCACAGCAGGCTCATCAGAAACATAACAATGGGGTAGTGAGAGCCCAAGCCTTGCTGTCCCCGTCAAATCTCAGGTCCATCTCTTGGCAGCTGTGTGACCCCAGGCATTTGGCTTAACCTCGCTGGGCCTCTAATTTCCGGAATATAGAATGAGAATCATCAAGCATAGCTGGCAAGATGTTATGACTAAGTGGCGGCACAAAAGAATGGTTAGGAGTGTGGTTTCCAGAGTCAAAGGAAGGGTTCAAAGCCCAGCTCTACTCCTAGCCAGTCGTGTGACCCTGGGAAAGCTACTAATCATGCTGTGTTTCAGTAAGTGGGGACGATAGCAGTACCTACTTCACAGGGCTCGTGCGAGGATGAAATGAGATCACACATGCAGACAGTCTGATGCACAGTGAGAGCTCAGTAGATATGAATTCTATTGCCGGACACCGTAGCTGCTATCACAGTGACTGCAAGACCCAACCAGCTCTGACCCATCCCTGCCTGTTGTCTAAAAGGGGGTCCCCCAGTCCTCTCACCTTCTGTCCAGATCTCTTATGGCTTCCCTGCTTCTCTAAAAAAAAGAGAAAAATGTTGTATTGGCAGGTGAGGAAGTCCAGAGAGGAAAAAACTTGGCGGGGGGGCTCTTGGAGCCGGCTGATGGGTAACCATGATTTCCCAGGCAGCCTCCCCTCTGGAAGGCCTGGAACAATGTGGGGCTGGAAGTTCAGGGTTTGGGGGACAGCCAGCCAGGAATCCCCTCCTCCCAGATGGGAAGTTTCTCGTGCTGGGGGCTCGAGTTGGAGTTCTAGGGAATTTTCTTTCCATGACGATCATTACTGAAAACTCAAGAACTCAGAAAACACCCAACACCTAGGTCAACCGTTGCTCCTTAAACCCTGAGATTCCCAACCTCATTGGTCTCACCCAAGCTGCTGCCAAGACCCAGTTGCTTTATGACTTTGTAACAGACAGGAATGATCTGACTCATGGCCACTGACCAGGCTCCCCCTACAACACACCAGAGTTCCCCTAAGTTCCCCTGCTACCTTTCTTGAAAACTGCCTGTTCTGGACCTACAAGATACCTGCCCCTTCACCATCTCCAACACACACACACACACACACCAGCACCCCCCAAGTTCCTCCCCCCACTCCGCAGTAGCAAAAGGAATGGGAGAGGGCTCAGGAGAAGGGGTCATCAGAGTAAAATAGAAACACCGTTCCTGTCCCCATATTTCACTCCCTGTGACTTATCAAAACTTTGAGGTTTCTCATTTCTCACTGACAGTCAGAGTGGGCTTTCTCTAGAGTAACCGAAAGACGTTTACGTGTTGAAAGAAACCTCGAGCGCTTCACATCAAGATGAGTCAGTGGAGGATGGGCGGCGCGCTGAGCCCTGAAGAGACTGTGGTTGCGTGTTGTGTAGACATGTGGACTGAAGCCCAGGGGTAATGCGGTGAGAAAGGGGAAGGAGAGGGCCACCACGCTGCTGCACAAGGACTCATTCCCAGCAGGACTGCAAATGCTTGGGTGCAGGTTGGGGACGCAGGCCAGTGGGTGCCTGTCCCCAGACACGGAAGATGCAGCTAGGAAGGCAGGTTCAAGTGACAGTGGAGGGCCAAGCACTGGAGGCTCCATCCTTAGGGCCGGGTACAGCCCCTAAGGATTTAGGAGGAAGGCACGGCAGGGGGGGTTGGCATCGGAGCTCTGCTTCGGGAAGACGTGTCTAGCAGTAGTGTGCAGGATAACTTGCTTGCGGTGGGAGAAATACCTATTTATTTATTTGTCCCGATGCCCTTCCTCCCTACTTAGGAGCTCCCAAGCCCAGAGTCCCCGGCCTGACCGGCGCCCCCCGGAGCACATTTAGAACGTCAAGCTAAGTGCCATGCAGTTAGGTTTCCAGCAGGTGGTGCTGTGGCCAAGGACACGGGACGGCTTCCCCAGCCTCCAGAGGATGCCTGTGGCAGGGTCCCATGTGTTTCCTGTCCCTACTGAGGCTGGAGTTGCAACCATGGGCCTTCAGGTCTTGCCTTAGCTTTCACATGTGGCATCACAGTGACTCTGACATTCCGGTGGGCCAGGCCTGGCTGGGAGCTGAGGGTCGGAGTATGGGGAGGGGGCTCCAAAGGGAAAGAAGGCACAGTTCCTGCCCTGGGGGTGCTCCCAGACTGGCAGAGCAGATTAGACTTCTACATAGATTTCTTTGTCAACCATCCTCCCTGTTCAGCCCTCGGGAGGAAATAAGCTCTGTTGACCCAAGGCTCAGCCGCAAAGCCGAACTGAGCATGCCCAGGCCTTGTGCTCACCTGGGGTCTCCGTCTGCTGCTCAGAGCAAAGGGGAGGCTCCTGGCTTCCAGAATGTGTCCTTTCCCAAAGCTGACTCTGCTCCCCTTCCACCGTTCCCCTAAGGCCTCGGACTAGAAAGCAAGTAAAGGAGAGAAAATGTACGCACACACTTTAGTTAAGAAAACAAAAAAAAGTAGGATGAACACTATCAGGGAATAGCATCCAGCCCACCACACTGCCCCAGGGCAATGTCCCCTCAGGCCACCTTGAGGACCCCTCCTCAAGGAGAAGGGAGAAGGAAAGCACTCATTTATTCATTCACTTAGTCAGTTACCCTTCATTTATTCATCAGCACACAATTCCTGGGCCTGCACTGGGTAAAAGGGAAGAGGTCCCTGCCCCAAAGTCAGGCCCAGGGTGTGGGCACAGTGAACCAGCTGTCAGTGCTGTCAGTTCAGTGGGGGGAGTTGTGAAATCGCCCCATTTCCTCAGTCTGCCTCCTTCGGGAGACGCTCAGGGCTTCACATGTGGCTGCCCACTCGCCTGGACACCAGGGAAGTGCTCCCCAGGCCGGTGGCTGCTGGCACCAAAGCAGTGCAGGACACGTGAGCACACGCACCTACCACCGCCTTCCTCTTCGTACGCCACGGGGGGCAGGGGCAGTCAGACCCTCAAGTCAGGGTCAGCTGAAGCCCGGTCCCGAGGGGGCTCTGAGCTCGGGAGGACCCTCCATCTCCAGAAGAAGCCCAGATGGGGCAAGACGGGGGGTGGGAGGGTCTGCCCCACATTCTGCTGCTGCTGCTTTCGGGAACCTGAGAGTGGAGGAGGAAGAGAGGGAGGTGAGGACAGGGATGCCGGGCAGCGGGCCAGGTGTTCAAAGGCACAATCTGGTTCTGATGTTCTCTTTCGGCAAACGCAGTGCCTGGAGCTTGGGATGAAAGTTCCCAACGGCGTCTCCCCTCCACTGCTTTCTTTAATCACAACGAGTTGTCCCTGCCAAGCAATAACTTTCTCGCCTGTCTCCTACAGGGAAACCAATGAAAAGCGTGCTGGCGGTGGCTCTCCTTGTCGTTTTCCAGGTAAGGTTCCCTGCCAAGGACAGCTCTGATCCTTCCTCCACACCCCCCCTCCCAAGCCAGAGGTCTTGCTAGAGGAGCTGGGCATTTGCTAGAAGAGGAGAGAAGGCCCCGACACAAACCCACCTGCCATTCATTAAGCAGATGCTGCCCCCTCTCCATGTGTGGAGTGACCCTGGGGAGCCACAGATGTTCTCTGGACTTCCTTTACTCCATCTAAGTTAAAACATGGGGGAAAATAACTCACGGTCACCTTCCCCACCCCACCTCCAATCTCCCCACCCAGGAGACAGAAACATGGACTCTGAGTTCTTTCAGAGAGAACAGCAGCAAAATGCAAAGGCCGTGAGGTTACCGGCTTTTGCATGTGTGCGCACACACCCCCATGTGTAAAACCCCACGTGCGGGCTGAGAAAAGAGCCTTGATTACTATCCTATCGCCCCAAAGTTTTCTTCCCCCAAACTCCAGCCAAAGGTTCCCCTCACAGCTGCAGTTTTCTTTTGTGAAATAGGGACCCATCAGCCTCCCCGGGGGTGGAGAAGAGAAAGGATGGGGCTCTGGGGACACAGAGAGGGTGGTGGATGGAGCAAATCTTTATAAGGGGCCCGAGCGCTGCAGGAACACAGACTCCCATCTTACAAGGTTTTGTGTCTCGACCCCAGAAATGGAGAAAGTTTGCCCCACCAAGTGCCAGGGTTAGAAACTGCAGCTGCAATGGGGGAGTCAACTTTTCCCCATTTGTTAGAGGCGGGAGCTTCTGGAGTGCAAGTAAGGGGCCCAGCTGAGGCCAGAGCTGGAGGGACAGTGCTGCAGAATTCGGCTCGTCCCCAAGTCTGCAGGCCAGAGGGGCAGCTTTCCAGGAGTTCAGGCCAGAGGCAGGCCCCAAGCTGGGCACTGTTCCCAAAACCCCATCCCAGAGGCCCGCAGAGCGTGGGCTGCTGCCCACAGCCTGGCCCCTTCCCCATCACCACTCTCCTCTCCCTCCAGGACTCTGGGGGACTACATTGCTGGCAGCCGAGGCTGGAGGGCTGGGGAGAAGAGGGGACAGCTTTGGCTCGTTCTCCCTCACTTGGGGAGGGGGGCACAGGCAGGGCAGGATGTGGTGGGGCTGTGGGCTGCAGAGGCGGCAAGGCTGGGGGTGGTGGAGCAGGAGCAAGGTAGAGAGGACTGTGTGGTGGGGAGCACACTTCACACAGGCTGGGAGCACTGCCCTCCAGGAAGCCCAGCTCCCCTCATATCCTCAGACCTCGGACTAAGGCCTGGGCCTTACCATGGATGGACTGAAGGCCGCCAGCTTTTTCAGGGGCTCCCAGGCTGCAGCCAGGCCCAGATGAGGGAACAGGGGCTGCCACTGACTTTTCTTCTCAGGCTAATGATGCCCAGAGAAAAGGCTCCTGGACATCATTTTGTCCTCACTCTGTCCCCAGCCAGGGCAGTGATGAATGCAGAACTTGGAAGTGAGAAAGACTGAGACAAGATACAGGGAGTCCCTCTAGCCCCGATTTATGGAAACCCGTTATCGTGGAGCTGCTAAGAGTCCAGTTCCTGCAGGAAGGCCCATGAGCGTCAGAGGCGGGCTTCCAGCCCAGCTACCTGCCCTGGAGGAGCCAACAGAGCCCACACAAGGCTGTGCCCCCTCCTTCATTGATAAAATCACAGCAGGCTGCTGAACCTTCAGCCGGCCCTGCAAACAGGCTAAAAAAAGCCCCGGCAGCTGAGCCCTGCTGATTGGGATCTGCCGGAAGAGGCTGCGGGGAAGAGAGAGGCAGTGACGTAGGGGAGCGGAGGGGGAGAGTGGGAGACAGAGCTGCCTTTCTTCCAGGGACACAGCTGCTGAGGGGCTCGCTTGCCACAGCCCCGGCACCCATCACAGGGTTCCAAGCGCTTGAGCTCGCGTTGCTCCTGCTGGGGGCCGGGGGGCACCAGGGACCTGTAATGTCTCCAGGTCACTTGCCACCCATGACCTCAGCAATTCACCCCAAGCCCAGGGATTCACAGCCTCCTAACGGGAGCATTTGCCGTCCTCTCTTTCCACTCTGGGCTCCCTCAGCCTTGACCCCCAGGTGATTTTCTGTCAGGAGCTGAGGTATTTTATAAGCCCCCTGGAAAACTCTTTCCATGAGCTTCTAAAGGAGGCTCAAGAAAGAAGACAAACGTCCCCTCACGGAGTTTCCAGAAGGCAGAATAATAGCTCCATGGACATGCAGTGGTGCCAGAGCCTGGGCTGGGCACCTTCCACCACCACATGGAGGAGACAGGATTCGTCTCCATTTCACAGACGAGAAAACTGAGGCTCAGAGAGACGAGTGTGTTTCACCAGCTTAAGCCCATCTGGCCCCAAAGCCCAGACTATTTCCATGTAAGATCACTTCTTCCAGAGTTGGCAAAATCAGACCCTTGCTTCGCAGTAGACGTGTAGAATCTCGGGCCCCACCCCAGCCTGCTGAGTTCAGGATAGGCATTTAACAAGATTGACCAGGCGACTCACGTGGAAGTTAAAATTTGAGAATCACTGATTTTAAAGCAAAGAATCACCTGGAGCATTTAGGAAAATACAGATACCTGGGCCCCGCCCCCCGAGACTCTGGTTCAGCAGGGCTCTGGCAAGTTCTCAGGGGATGACAGGGATGCGACCACCCTTTGAAACCGCCACTCTAGGCTCAGTCCCGGCCAGATTTGGACCCACCTGGCTAAGCTAGATTGTTTTCCCTTGTTTCCTTTCCCACAGGTGTGCCTGTGCCAAGATGAGGTCACGGATGATTACATCGAAGACAACACCACGGTGGACTACACCTTGTACGAGTCTTTGTGCTTCAAGAAGGATGTGCGGAACTTTAAAGCCTGGTTCCTCCCAGTCATGTATTCAGTCATTTGCTTCGTGGGCTTGCTGGGCAATGGGCTGGTCGTGTTGACCTATATCTATTTCAAAAGGCTTAAGACCATGACTGACACCTACCTGCTCAACCTGGCCATGGCAGACATCCTCTTCCTCCTGACCCTTCCCTTCTGGGCCTATAGTGCAGCCAAGTCCTGGGTCTTTGGTGTCCACTTTTGCAAACTCATCTTTGGCATCTACAAGATGAGCTTCTTCAGCGGCATGCTGCTACTCCTGTGCATCAGCATCGACCGCTACGTGGCCATCGTCCAGGCCGTCTCGGCTCACCGCCACCGCGCCCGCGTCCTCCTCATCAGCAAGCTCTCCTGCGTGGGCATCTGGATGCTGGCCATGGTGCTGTCCACCCCCGAGCTGCTGTACAGCGGCATCCAGAGGAGCAACAGCGAGCAGACGTTGCGATGCTCTCTCATCAGCGAGCACATGGAGGCCTATATCACCATCCCGGTGGCCCAGATGGTCATAGGCTTTCTGGTCCCCCTGCTGGCCATGAGCTTCTGCTACCTTGTCATCATCCTCACCCTGCTCCAGGCACGCAACTTTGAGCGCAACAAGGCCATCAAGGTGATCATCGCCGTGGTTATGGTCTTCATAGTCTTCCAGCTGCCCTACAACGGGGTGGTCCTGGTCCGGACGGTGGCCAGCTTCAACATCACCAGCAGCAACTGTGAGGTCAGCAAGCAGCTCGACATCGCCTACGACGTCACCTACAGCTTGGCCTGCGTCCGCTGCTGCGTCAACCCTTTCTTGTACGCCTTCATCGGCGTCAAGTTCCGCAACGACCTCTTCAAGCTCTTCAAGGACTTGGGCTGCCTCAGCCAGGAGCGGCTCAGGCAGTGGTCTTCCTGCCGGCACATCCGGCGTTCCTCGATGAGTGTGGAGGCCGAGACCACAACCACCTTCTCCCCATAGGCAGCTCTTCTGTCTGGACTAGAGGGACCTCTCCCAGACCCCCTGGGGTGGGGACAGGGAGCAGATGCAGTGACTCAGGACCCCCCGAGAAGACAGCTGCTGGGGGAAAAGCAGCTCTGACCTCAGAGTGGAAACCTGTGCCCCAGAAGACGCTTAACCCCAACCCTAGCTACCTCAACTAAGGTCGAAAAGAAATGTGGCTGATAAGCTAACATCAGAACCAGCAACACCCCAAAACCGAAGCTGTTGTCCCCTAAACCAAAAACCCAAAGTGAAAGTCAAGAAACCATTCACACCTGCTGGAGTGAAGGGGACGAGATGGGTGAGTGCTTGGTTAGGAAGAGGGCTGGCGAGTCCTCTGAATGAAGTTTCTTCCGACCTAGAAAAAAGTCATCCCAGAGACTCAAGAGCTCAGGCCAGGTCTTTCAGAAAACCAGGCTTTGTCTCCAAGACCAGAGATTGTGAAGAGACGTCTTGGCTTGGTGACAAAAGGGGGACATCTGCAAGTCAGACTGACTCTATCTGACCCCCTCCCTCCATCTCTTTCCGCTGGCCTCCCTGGGAGCACACTTGCCCCCTCACAGGCCGCATCCCCCTCCCAGGCTCTTGACAGGGGAGGGTGTGGTGTTTCCTGCCTGGCCAGGCCGGCTGCCTCAGCCTAACCAAAGCCATGTTCCCAGCCAGGACTCTGGGAGGAGGGGAGAGGGAGAAAGGTTGGGGACGGTGAGGGTGAAAATACTGGCTGCCCACGGCCAACGAGCTTCCTCTTTCTTCTTTGTCACAGGGATAGAAAAGTCTCCTTGTGTTATGCTTTCAGTTCATTAACAGAACCACATTTTACTCACACACAAATAAAAATTTTCCCTTGAGGAAAGAACGGCTTTGAAAGAAAGGGAAAAAATCTTTGGTAAATGGCAAATGAGTGTGTTCTTGTTTTGTAATCTCCCATGCCTCACCTGACCGCGCCCCCTCTCCCCTGCTCGCCACCCTCCCCACTTTGTTTCTCAGAGATGTTCAGAACCACGAGGTCACTTAGCTGTGCTCTGAGCCCGAGCAATGACACTGGCCCAAGAGGCTGAAGGAGGGCGAGGACAAGGAAGTCCATTTTGCAAATACCCTTCCAGATCTCATGGGATGGGCCTCAAACCTGGGTGGCCGTCGGTGAACTGGAGGTGCTGATCAGAGCGGAGTTTCAGGAAGACCAAGTTGTCCTGGTATCCTCTATGCCTGGGAACTCTCTCGATGCTTAGCAGCATTTGCACACTGACCTGCTCACCTGTCCCCAAACTGGTGTTTGGAGGGAGGGCCTTTCCCTGGGCTCAGAGACCACAGCATGCTGGATTAGGGGCTCTAGCATGGAAGCCATGAGATAGGCCAGATGGAACCCTTTGCTGGCTGCTTGAAAGCTGGGACCATCCATGACACTCTCCACTGGCCACTGTGGCAGCAGTGCCCCTGCACGGTGTATATCATAGTCCATTCCTGCTGCTAAAACAAAATACCACAGACTGGGTAATTAATAAACAATAGAAATTTATTTCTCATAGTTCTAGAGGCTGAGAAGTCCAAGATCAAGGCACTGGCAGACTCAGTGTCCGGGGAGGGTGGACTCTTTACTTCCAAGATGGGGCCTTACTGCTGTGTCCTTCGGAGGGGACAAACACTGTGTCCTTACATGGTGGAAGGGAGGAAGGGCAAAAGAGCCTAGCTAGTTCCTCCCAGCCCTTTTATAAAGGCATTAATCCCATTCACAAGGGTGAAGCCCTCATGACCTAATCACCTCCCAAAGGCCCCACCTTCTAATACCACTATCTTGGGGTTTACCTTCCAATCTGTGGGCCTGGGAAGGACACCTACATTCACACCACAGCAGTGTGGATACCTGCCATGGAGGAGCGGGGAAGAGAGGAACTGCCCCGCACACAGGCCAGCCTCCCTGGCACTGCGTGCCCCGGTGCCCATCCAGAGCCCTGACTTCTCCGAGCCAGAAAGAAGGGCTAGTCCAGCCTGCGATGCATGAGGCGGTGTCTGAAGCTGCAAGAGCTCTGGACTGGGGGGTGAGGGAGGGGTGGCGTGCATACGATGGGGGGCTGAGGCACTCACGCAGAAGGGCATTCCATCCATTTCCCCAAGTGAAATGAGCCCCTTTGAAAATGGAGGTGCCTGGTGATGGTGCCAATTCTCTAATCTTGTAAGCACATGCCATTACCCTCTGCGGGGTGCACTGGGCTGGAAGGTTTTTAACAAGATGTGTCAGCTGGCCTCCGAGCTGGGAATCGGCGCCCTGAGAGGAATGAGCCTGGCACGGACGCAGTCAGCGTGGAGCAGCGTTCGCGGCGGTGGCATTAAACATTAAAAGGTGCAGCTGTGACTGTGTGTGCTCGAGCGTGTGGCCAGGGGCGATGCCAGTGTGCATGGTGTCCCCGAGGGGAACCTGCCCGGCACGTGTGCGTGTGGAGCCCGCTGGTGTGTACACCCTAATGAGGTTACAGATGGGAAAACAACACCCAGTTCCTAAGGGGGAAGAATGTAGCAGAGCAGTCATGGAAAAGGAAGCCAGGCGGCCGCACAAACACGCCACCCCGGCTTCAAATACATTTTTCTAGAATAACTGGACGTCCCCAAATATTTACAGAGAAAACAAAACCCCCAGCAATGTTAATTCCCCAAACTGCTGTGTCTCAGAAGTTCTGACCTCGGCTCAGTGCTGGCCTGACCCCTGCTCCCTCGCCCAACGCTCTCACGCGCCTACCCTGAGCTTGGGGTGACCCCTGGAAAGAAGGGAAGGGCCCTCTGGGAGGCCCACCCCGGGCTCCTCTCTCCCCCTTTCTCATCTGCTTCATACACGTGCCCCATCTTCCCGGGATCACGGCCCCCATGACCCTCCCCCAGTGTCCCCCAGTCTCCCCAGTGTCCCCTTCATTCATCACCAGCACCTTGTCCCACCCATCCTGGCTGCAAGCCCAAGCCAGGCCCCAGCATTCCCAGGCCACAGATCTGCCCTTCCAGCCAGCAGCACCACACCTCTCACATCACAGACCCTCAGAGCTCCCAGGGACCTCACAGATCAGCTGGGCCAACCGCCCATCACTCTCTAGATGGTGAAGCTGAGCTCCCAAGGGAGGAGCTGACTTGCCCAAAGAGACATCGAAATGGAAGGATATTGGTTGGACCTGTGTGGGGAGCCTGAGAGTCTGGCAGGGTTGTGGGAGAGGGTGGGGGAGAGCAGAGGCTCAGGAGCCCTGCCAACTTTGAATCTCATCTCTACTGCTTCCCAGCTGTGTGACCTTCAGCTGTTGCTCAACTGCTCTGGTCTCAGATGTCTCAACTGCAATATGGAAAGGATTTGGGTAAACAGTTAGCACGGTGCCTGGAATGTTGAGTGTGGTGGTGAGTAGCAGGGATTTTGCAGCCAGAATGCCCGGCTTGAATCCCAGCCCCACTACTTGGGCTGGTTACTTAGCCTCCCCCAGCCTCGATTTCCTAATCTGTATAAGGAGGATATTAATAGTGCCTACCTCCTAGGGCTGTTGTGAGGAGGAAATTCATCCATATATGCAAAATGCTTAGAAATGCTTATATAAGTGTTGTTGGTAATCATTTAGGAGATGTTTAAGAAACGGTAGCTAAAAGCAAGTTGCTCACTGCAAGAAAACCAAATTCAATTCCTTAGCCTCTTTTCTATCCCCACAGAATTTACAAATGAAGCCGGAGGGTAGTTTAGAGATGGGTTAGCCTGGCCTTCCCACCAATCTTACCCATGAGTCAACCAAGGCTCAGAGAGGGAAATAACCCACCCGGGTCTCTCAGGAGCTCCTGGCAATGCTGGAACTTGAACCCAGGCAGTTCCCGGGTTCCCATCCAGAGCTCTTCCCCCCAGACCTTGCTGCACCCACGTGAACACCCCGGCAAGTCCACCCTGGCGTCCGACACCCGCACCCCAGACTGTCTGGCTCTTCCCTGGCAGGTACTGTCTATCTTGCCCTGTGACCAGGTCCTTAAGGAGAACGTCCCTTCTCCCCTTTACATAGTTCCTGTCCTCCCCACGGAGCCTGAGAGAATGAATGAAACACAAAAGAAATATGGCATCGGCCCAAAGGAAATCAGGCAACTGATCTTTTTAAGAAAGGAAGACAGGCCATCTTCTCTGGGAGTTAGGTTCTCAGCTGCATTTCCGTGTCGAGGGTGAACAGTCAGTCGAAGGAGAAGAAACAGACCTATGGGGTGGGGGCATCGGGGGATTAAGGCAAAGGAGACGGAAGGGAAGGGGAGCGATTCTGAGTGGGGAGGAGGCAGGCGGAAGGAGGGACACGTGCAGATGGCCGCACTTGGAGTATCTTCCGTGGGTAGATGCCCCCTCTTACACACACAGACACACACACACACGTGCACGTGCGTGCATGCGTGGCTTTCGCAGGCCTCCTGAGAAAGGGGCTAGGAGAAAGGGGCTATATTAGTCTTAGAGACAGGTGGGCCCATGGCCTTCTTTGCAGGAAGAAGGGTTAGAAATGGCCATGTTTCCCTGGTCTGAGCCCCAAGGAAAAAAAAACCCAGGGGAACAAAATGAGGCCTCTCCCTCAACTCCAGAGAGCAAACCTTCCAGGCTTCAGCAAAACCAGCCCTCCCTCCCTCCCCACCCTCAAGGGAGCCGATGTCTGAGAAGCCCCAGCTCCTCCAGCAGCTAATCTCACTCATCCTGGGCCCAGACAGAGACACAGACAGGGTTCCATCTGCAAAGAAGCCTCCCTCCCAGCCAGAGCTGCTCCAGACCGAGCGGATCTCAGCTGACCCCGTGCAAAATCAGAAACGCGAGGGCTCGAGTTCCCCACGGGCTCCTCGCTTTGGTTTGTGCGTGACCCAATTCAGACTTCTCGCTGTTGTCAGATTCTCCCCCTCCTGTCTTCAATTTGAGGATGGATGTAACCTTATTCTTGTCTATTGTTCACTAACCCCAGGGAGTTCACTGGCTGGGCTGTTCTATGTGTCACAGTAACCACCACACGGTTTGGCCTCCGGGTCCTCGTGTCCGAGTAAATAAACATCTCCCCACACGCGCACAGGGTGGGGTCAGGCGTGGCTGGATTCTGCCTGGCTCGGTTCCCCCACAGTGCAATAAGTCCTGAGGTCAGACATGCGTGCCCATTAGCAAGAGGGCAGTTCTCGCCCCCGAAGTCCTCTTGCGCCTGTGTCAGAGCTTGTTTAGGACAGAATAGTTTATGTTTGTTCTAAATAAATATCTGACATTGTGAAGCACAACAGATGCTGCAGATGAAACCCTTTCCCGATGTTTCGAAAGGCCTGGAAAGGCGCGCACATTTATCTCATATGATTTATGCAGCTGCCTTCGAGTGAGTGAAGCAAGAATGATCACGCACAAACACTGAGTGGTGCGCTCTCCTTCCCAGGCCCGGAGGATGGCCTGGCCCAGGGCTGTGGTCAAGCGGGGTGCTAGAGTGTCACCTATGTGGGAACCAGCCCTGCCTCCTGCCCGGAGGCTCAGGCAACCTCTCCCAAAGCTGACACTCTGGACACGCCAACCTGCTCACACTGGTTCCTCT